TTAGTACAGCCAACGCTCTAGCAAACTGAGCTACGAGCCGTGAACTTAATTCCACTTGGGTCAACTTACACACCCGGCCTACTGAAAGGTAGGGAATCCGTAAATTGAATGTCCAAACAGGATTTCCTAAACAATCAGTCTATAATCCACCAGTTGACTACCAGGTACATTTACTTACTAAGAGGAGTTTAACAGATTTCATTACTACAATTGATCCGCATGACGGTTAATAGTACGACCTTTTTGGAAACGAAAATACATTTCAGAATTTCGGTTAACTCTTCATGACATACCAAACCTACTGTAAGTGGAGCAGTTCATTGAAGTGAAACACTGGATTGCTTGACAGAAATTCTGAATGTGCAGAGTTATGGGCGCGGCAGCAGACTGGGCGAAGTGCGACCGCTTCGCCACCAGAAAGGATAGGAGAAATTGAGACAAAAAATGCGGCAGGCAAGTTAAAAGCGGGCAAAGGGCGTATAGGTGCAACCAACCTACCAACCAACACCCACAAACAGAATGCGCAGCCTCTAAAAGGGCTAATACGATGGACAATTCATGAAAGCCCATTACTTAAGAGTATCTGCGTGAAAAGATCACGAATGAGAAATGTTATTGTCAGTGCGGGAGGTAAGTTGATGGATGGGCGCTCACTGAGAGGATACAGGACTCAGTCGTCCTTGAAGCTCACCCTCCAGCTCCATCGACAGCTGCATAGTGGCCATTACTATAGACAGAATATGGGCAGTGCGGGACAAGTAAAACACGTATCTGATCAGTGAGCGCACATCCACCGATGATGGTATTCCTATCAAAATCGACAATACGACGAGCTCGTGGCTGGATGGTTAGGGTGTTCGGCCTCAACAGGTCGCGGGTTCGAACCTCGGGTAGTACATCACCTAGGTTTGGGTATGCTTGACTGATGACAGTAACTAAGCCAAAAATTGCCATTTTAGTTTCCCTTGCCTTTGTCGGTAATGCTCTTCAGTCCTTAAGTTACCGTTGGGTGTTATTTTACTGCTCAGTCTTTGATATTGGACATGACCTCTACCCGCTAGAAGCCTCGGTCGGCTGGTACAATTGTTTTAAGTCCTATCTTATATCCTATTCTTAAAGATGTATTCGCATTAAACTGAAATTATTAGTCTCAGAAAAGAAATAGCATAAGTAGTGTGATAGTGGGGCACTCACCGATGGCGGTCCCGTAGTTCCTTACGGTTCACTGCCGAGCCCTGCCAGCAACCGAACAGCGATTAGTATTTCAGATAGGATAACATTACAGCCAAATTAGACGAATAAGATTCGTGAACTGAGGCACACGTTCGCATCCCAGGTATGTGTATAAATTGAGAAGAAAAAGCCGTGTCAATCAACGGAACCTTGAAACCGCGTGCAATTCCGACGCTTAGTCCCACGGCAATGCGTTCGGTCACCTGCGACACTTTCTTGATATAAGATTCGATCTCTGGGACAACACTTTTATTTGCTTGAACTTTCAACATCCTTCACGGATCTTCATCAGAGACATCAACAGAAAGCAGTAGCAGATACGGGTGGTACATGTACAGGAATTTACGGTTTTTATAGGATACAGTCATTACTGCACACTTATGACAAGGTCAATTAACGGTAATTGGCAATTACATTTACAGCCAAAGATGAAAGCAACTGGAATGGCTGTTTCTGACTTATTAGTCGTCACCAGCCAGCTATGTCCATATCAAGGTTTCGCCACCATAAAGGTTTAATCCCTCGGCGTATTAATCAACACTCCAATGTCCTAACCAATGTTGCATTTTAATATTCAATGCCGTCAGATATTGGCAGGAGGGGGAAGGCTTTTCAAGGCAGACTGTAGAAAGTATGAAAAGGTTCCAACCGAAAACGCAGGCTATCCGACACAGTCTAATTACCGACCTACGAATTCCCACTTGCATCTCTACCTCGTAGCTGCCACAGTCCGTCTGAACGGGTTGTCATTTTTCTTTTCCTGATTGGCAAGCCAAACCTATAGGGACAGTTCTGCAGGCAAAAATATTATTTTTTGCGCAAATAAGAAAACCGACCCTTTTTGCCGAGTCCAGAACTCAACTAGGAAACTCATTCTGATCAGACATTTTTGTCTGAAAACTTGTGACACAAACAGTCCCATATTGGACATTTTTTACGCAAACTGACTTCATCTGTGTTGCCGGCGTTTTTCATCACAATTAATTTTCTTTTTCCATATGTCCTGTCTAATTTAAAGTATGAGCCAAAGAACAAAACACAAGTAAATTAAATTTAAAGCAGTCTCTTGGAGTACTCAT